GTCGTTCACGTTTGAGTGCCATCTGTTTCATCGTTAGAATCGTCATTTCAAACGTTTCAAAATAAACCGATGGATTGAGAATTCTAGAGGTACAGCGAACAATCGGTGAGTCACAAGCACACGTTTCAGTCGATAAGCATCGAACACTAAAAGGAGCATCATAAATCGTTGCGTTTTTGTGTTTCGTAAAGGACATCTCCGTCATCTTTATATGTATGTACATATATCTCTAGAACAATACAACTCAGACAACGTGATTTCTGAGTTACCACCATGAAGGAATTTCGGTAAAGGATTCTGTATTAATCATAAAAGATGTTCTAACTTAATTCAGATGTGGATCACTCTTCATGTTTCGATAAAATTCCACCTTGTATAATAATGACACTTGTCAGTTGTCGTGTGACACTTGATCACTGATGCTCAGAGTCAATGTTCTTTACCTACATTATTTGTCTGATAAATCTTGTTTTACTGGAAAATAGTGCAATGTAATGTTCACTCGAGAAGAGAACGCTGGGAATTGCTCGATTAATTCCAGAAGATTTTCAAAGTTTCTTTCAGAATGTCCAAAGTACTCTACTAACTTGAAATCTTCTTAGATCGAGAAGAAGTTAAGGAACAAGGGAAATTCAATTTCAACCTCAGGGAGCGTACCAACCGAGGAATGTCAAAATGGGAAAAATGCAGGTAAAGCGATGATGATCGCATCAATAATCAACGATTCTTCCCGTTGTGGATTGACGAAAGCGAATTGACGATTGAATATTATTTTCAGCACATCGTCGCCTACATAACGGGAGGCGCGAACGGTATTGGGAAGGCCATCGCCGAGAAGATTCTTTGTGGGGGTGGTAAAGTGGTGTTGGCCGATATATCTTGCAATGGACTTAAAGTTGCCGAGAAAATGGGCGAAAGAGCTCTATTCTCGTGTACAGACGTAAGTTGAGTCCCTCACAAAATTTCGTTCCATTTCCTTCACAGGAATAAACCGAGCTATTCTATCTAAAGTTATAAAATTAAAGTGTTGCAAATATTTTTTATTACTTCTGATTTTTATGAAGAGGTAATTCAAAGATACAGGTTTGATCACTTCCAGTCCGAGTATTAATTACCCCTGGATAAATAAATAGCTAAATGGCATACGTACTTTATTATTCAAAAATAAAATCTCAAAGTTCTCTTGGTAAACCTTCAACAATAAGACACTTCAATTGCAGTATTAACCATTTTATTCTCTGTACAAGTAGAATTTTCTGCCTGGTTACAAAGTCAGAGTTGTACTGATCTTCCCGAGCAACGGACATCTGATAGCTCATTTCTGCCTTCATTAAATCCCTCGGACCATTTGTGGACATACTTTCTGTTGTCACGCAGATTGTCCGATATTGGACAACTTCGTCTTTAAATTTCTAGGCCGTCAGCACTTTCAGCATTCGAGAATTTAATAACATCACGACTTTTTTTTCGATGTGGTTGTTCGTAGTACAGCAGCCATATTGACGGCTGAATGGAGGACAATATAAATTGATCAATGTTAAATATCAAAATTAAAATTCATTGAAGTAGAAGTGTTTATATATCTTCCCTCAACAGTACTGATGACACATATTAATAATATTGAAGGAATAGAGTCCCCATTGAAAACGTAAAAAGACTCGATTTTGTTTATATTGAATTTCCTGAAAGTATCGCGAAAATATGTCTTGTAAACTTTACGTCGATACGTAAAAAGTTACCGAAGCCATAATACTCCGAAGGGAGCGTCGCGGCCTTATCCCGAATGTCTCTTAAAACTTTAAACGCGTCCCTCTAAAAACCATCTTTTTCGTAGCTTTCACATCTCCGAAATCACTGAACCAGCCGGGTGGATGTAAAGTAGAGGTCTGTTTATAGCCTCTATCAAACTCCTCTAGATACTTTTAAATCTCTTCTCGAACGGTTTCCATATAAATTCCCAACAACGAAACCATTTTACAGGTGAGAAGCGAGAAGGACGTGCTAGAGAGCATGAAATGCACCAAAGAGAAATTCGGGGGAGTAAATGTGCTCGTGAACGCCGCTGCTGTCTTCGGAGCCGAGCCACTCTACGACTTCAAGCAGAAAAAGCCTCACTCGTCCGACCTGTACAGGTGTCTGTTCGACACCAACGTGTGGGGGTTGTTCAACGTCACCCGTCTAATGGTTGGCATGATGGCGGAGAACAAGCCAGACGCGCATCGGCAGAGAGGCGTTATTATCAATCTTTCGTCAACGGTAGCGTTCGACTCGCCACCAGGACACGTCGCCTACGGTGGTGCATCGGCAGCGATTGCAGGAATGACGATACCCTTCGCCAGAGGACTCGCGCAGAGAGGAATACGCGTTGTCGGCGTGTGCCCCGGTTTCATCGAGAGTCCCATGACAGGTAAATCGATGGGAAGCCTATGGTTTTCGAATTCTTTCTTGGTTACTGTAAAGATTGAATTAATGGAATATTGAAATTCGTAGAATTTTAATTTCAAGAAAACCTTGATTTATAAGGAACAGGAAGATTAATTTCTTTGGCATTTGATATTCCCTTTGGTTTCTTTTGTTTGAATTCACTGGTGATTTCAGGTATAAAATGTTGAAGTGTTTGATTACTTAGATCAAAATCATGGGCAGCGTAAACTACAAATAAAACACCTTAAATTGGGTAACATAAGTGAAACGATTACGAGAGAATGTACCTCGGTTCACGAAGGAAATCCAACATTAACGAGCTTCAAGAGAAACTAGGCTCAACACTTATAGCAAATACAATTAGAATTACAATACATGCTTCCAAGCAAACATGTTTCAGGGCAACGCAGTGAAGTTTGATTTTAATTTTAGAAACAATAGGTGTGCTCCAAAATTCACGATAGTAAAAGTTAATTCATATGCTCGAAATAAGAATTTTCATCTAAATTTCGAGAAAGCTCCCCTTAAATATGTAGTTATAACAAAATGATACAATATTTATTTTAAGTAGTCCTAACAAATCGCAGTCGCGGCTTCGTTTTCAAATAATCGCGTGCGTTCAGCTTCGTTGAAACCAGAAGAGAAGAAGTTGTGGATCACCATGAAGCTGACACCGAGGCGTTTTGGATGCAGCGAAGAAGTTGCTCATCTGATCCAAGCGTGCATCGAGAATCCTTTGATCAACGGTGAGAACATTCGCATCGATATGGGCTTCAGGTACAACCAAACTGGAGACGGCCAGCAAGAAGATGGGAAGTGTTAACTGTCGTTTCTGATGTAAATGAAACGTAAATACTTCTGTCGCAATTTTTTAATTGCGCGAACAAGGTGAATCCCATGTACAAAATATCGAAATTCAGCAACACTTTGAGATATCATGTGGTGGGTTGATGCGTAAGTGGTTGATTACAAATAGTGCTTAATGTCAGTTTGTACAGGGAAGTAAGCAGATAGAATTGACAAATAGAATTAAAGCTACGAAATGCTATCTATTCGAATTGCAGCTCTTGTTGAAAAAATGTTCTCTTGAAGGAAAACTGCACGTATGCATCAACTCTATACTAGCGTTTGCAGAGGTTCGAAACCCTTTTTATTTATTTCTGATAAGCTCGACGTCTCATCTCCACCGAGCTTTCATCTTTGAAATAGTTAAACATACCACTCTGAGAGGAACGCTTGTATCTTAAAAGATCTTCAACTAATAAATGTTTTCGCTATGTTATCAAACAAACATCGTCCTTCTTTGTACTACCCAGATCTTTTACTATGCATCCGAATTTACTTTGAAAAAAAAAATAACGAAATTTCGTTGACCCCTAAAACTAGACAAGGTCCCAACCGATATCGATTCGTGAGAAATTCGGATAGAGATATCGCGATAAAAATGATGCCTGGTAACCGTGGAGAGACGCGATCAGCTAACGGATTCTCGAGCACGTCCTGAAGACGGCGTCATCAGCGACGACGTGCAACCGCACCGCCACCTACTTTCACCCGGATGAAATTTATGTATGGAAATATCCGCGCGAGCATTACGCATGTAGAATATCACGACCAGCAGCTGGAGGCCCTCCCGTGACGACACTTCGTAGGAAAATGTATTTTAACGCTCACGATGGAGGCAGCAATGTGGAAATACGCGCTCGAGCGACCCTTTCCTTTCCCGCACCATTCGTTTTCCTCCACGGTCGCCATCCTCTCGCGAAACTCTCCGCCCGAACCCGCAGCAACCGGAGTCTCCATCGACAACCCTACAGGCATCACGAGAACTACATAGTCGAGGGTTTCTTTCATATTTCTACGTGTAGATTCGCGGCACAGAGGAGCGTTCCCGCGTCCTGGAACATCCTCATGTTTTATGCACACGCGATGACAATTTTATAAGGCGGGAAGCAGATTGTTACGGACGTCGGAGATGAGTCGGTCAGCCAAGACGTCATTATCGAGCATCGCGTAGCTTTCTCACCTTTTTTGCACCTGGACAGTTAAGGCGAATAAACAACGAATTTTATCGAGGACTCTGCGTAGCCTTCCTCTATTCCTAACCCTTGAAGGAGATTTTATTAGAATTCACAACAAACTCTATCTTTTGTAGTAAATAATAGTCTATCTTTTTTAGAATATCTGACATTTTTTTTGGTAGGAATGTAAGCTTTTCAAGTAGGAAATGATGATAATACACTCCACCAGTGAAGAGGTTGCGCTCTAAAACCTGAATATATTCTTTTTCCTCTAAATACTCGATGAAAATTCTATTGTCCAGGATCTACTAACCGTGTCGTTGGTGGTCTCACAACGCACAATTCGAGGAGATAAGGATTCCGTCGTATGTACATTGTAACAATATGCACAAGATAACGTCTGTCCAACTAACTAGATACTAATGTTAAAAGTCCTGTTCCCAGCTGTAAACTCGTTTTAAATAAAGCATTAGATAAAATGTTAAAAAACAGAATTTCAAGCGAACAAGACCAAGATAAGCTTACAAGGAGTGGGAATGAATCAACACCATCGTATTTCAATTGTAATACTATTATTTATTCGTTACCATTTTTTGCTACATATACGTAATTTATTTCAGCTAAACCCTTCAGCATCGCATATGCTGAGCCGCGAGATTCATCACACTCCTAATGACCTGTCCGGCAATCATGACAACGTCTTCAATGATGGCCCTCTTGGCGGCAATCGGAACTTTCACCGCAGTTTCGACGCCCGATTTGACGATATTCAGTACCAGTCCTGCGATTCCACGAATAGGCTCGGTGCTCTTCATGATCCTGTTCAAAGCCTTGGGAATGGCTTGGGCGAGGTTCTTCTCTCCAGCCTGGATGGCTTGAGCGGCCGCCTCCCTGGCATTTTCGATGTTCTTGCGAACGTCATTGCTAACCGATTTCAAATCTGGCAATTGTATACTGGGGATCGAGGGGAGTTTCGGAATATCAACGTGGGACAAGATGGATTGCATGCTGTTGATCACGTCAGGAATGGCAGACAGGGCGCTTCCAATGTCTACAGATACGCCGATGCTTCCGCTGGCGTCGAAACCTCCGCCGAGTGCTTCTCTCTTTCCCCTTCCGCCTATATTAAAACCGCCACCAAATGAAAATATAGGTTTGCGGGTAGTTTCGTTAGATTTAGAACCGATGATACCGAATGAGATGTTTCCAGATCCAGAGATAGGTCTGTTAGCTCTACGGGTAGATCCAGAAGTAGCCTGGGTTGCAGCAGAAGTGGAACCCTGAGTCGAAGCCTCGGTTGCAGCAGAAGAGGAATCCTCAGAGGAAGAAGCCTCAGTTGTACCTTCGGTGGAAGCCTCAGAGGAAGAAGCCTCAGTGGTACCTTCGGAGGAAGCCTCAGAGGAAGAAGCCTTAGTTGTACCTTCGGTGGAAGCCTCAGAGGAAGAAGCCTCAGTTGTACCTTCGGAGGAAGCCTCAGAGGAAGCCTCAGAGGAAGCCTCAGAGGAAGCCTCAGTGGAAGAGCTTGCAGCAGCAGTGCTTGTGCTAATCACAGTCGTTGCGGAGCTAGACACTTCACTGGCGGCCTCAGTCGCAACAGTGGTACCCTCAGTAGCGGGGGCAGTGGAAGTAGGTGGTGGAGATGGGCGAGTTGGGCGAGGTGGACGAGTTGGACGGCTTGCAGGCGTTGGGGGACGTTGTGGCCGTGTTGGGTGGGTGTGTGGGGGACGTGTTGGGTGGGTGTGTGGGGGACGTGT